TTTGTTATAAAAGAAAGCCTTAAACATTGATGGGAAAGCATTTATAAGAGCAGACATGAGAGCGAAAGATAAATGAGCATGAAAAGTGCGATGGTGAGGGGAAGAAAGGTTGTGCTTTAGTCTTTGGTCCATTAAAGCTTTTCTAGCAGCTCTGTTTTTACATTGTCAATGAATGTTTCCATTTTTTCCCATTTCCTGCAGATAGATAAATGACAATTCTAAAGTATTAGTCAGGGGATCTGCATTAGCAGCAGAGCAAAGAAAAGCTAAAAGCGAGATTGATGGGAGCTTCAGGGAAGAAATGGGTTTATGAAAAGCAGCACCATGAGAGAGACTTTGACAAAGAAACGCAGAGGTACACTGATAAGAAAGAGATGAGGATGACAGAAAAGGTTTAGCTTTGTTTTCATGTGTGATATGTAACTAAGGTTAAAGATTTTAAATGGCAAAAAATGAAATGCGTGCAAGTGTGGGTACTGATTTTCTTTATTTTTCTTTAACAAATGGTAGGTATCCAGACATTGATTGTGACCCTGATTAAAGAGATTAAAGGCAGTATAATCAAGGGAAATCACTGTCTGAGCTGGATGCACACTGTCCATAGTGGTGTTAGGCTTTGTTATCTTCTACTGTTGCAAACAAACCCTTTGCAGCTTAATTGGATCGAGTGGGAACCAATTTTGATTTCTCAAGAAACCAAGACTTGCTTGAAATGAATTCATTTTTTAATCTTCTCTCTTATTTTCTTCTTTCCTTTGTGGAGCCTTATAATAACCTTGTTATTGCTGCTTTGTTTTTTATTCTTTTTTTTAAAAAATATATTCCATGCGACAAACAGTCTCCAGTCTGGATTTAAAGGTATTAATTTGAACTTGCAAGTAATGACATGTTCTAGCGTTGCCATTTTGCTACGTGTTACTGATTATGCTCCATCAGTCGTCTGTGTTTTCTATCTGATTGTTTATTATTTACACATTTCCCCTTTTCCTTGTGTCTGTTCCTTTCAGGCAAACAGAGGATCTGTCTGATCATACTGAACCAGCCGCTGGATAAGGACCACCTACATATCCTCTGGAGTAAAGGTACATTTCTCACACATGACAAATATAGATCAGACAACAGACAAGCCCCTTTTACAGCACTTATAACACATTTGCATTGATTTGCACCGAACATGTATTCCCCAGTTGTTTTTTGTCATACTGTGCTCTCTAGTCTGTGTGGCCTTCACTCTGCCATATCACTGAAAGTGCTCCTTCCCCACTCTCTGCCTACCTTTTCCTTTTCCTTTCTGCTTTCTGCATTGGTACCATTTTATTTATTGTTTTGATTGCTTCTTTAGCTGAATGAGTTTAACAGTTATTACAATCAAAACAAAATTTGTTTTTTAAAAAAGGGCATTTCCATTATGAATGAACTGGTGGACGGTAAATTATTAAAAAATAAATTAAAATATTGTTAATTTCAGTAATGTAATTTCTGGTTTCTTGATTTGTGTCTGACTGCCTTTGTGTCTGCTGTTCTCGCCTGTCTCGCTGTCTGTTTGCATTAGAGTGGGGCTGTGCTCTTCAGACACACACAGGGTAACTTGAGAGCAGAAAAGCAATACAGACTTTACCGTATAACTTTCTTGAGCTGAAGACTATTATGCTCACTATCGCTAAGTACTACAATGGCTGTCATTTCTTAAATACCTGTGGTCAAACAAGAACATATGCGCATCAGCCACAACACCTGCCTAACCTTGTGATGGTATCTAGCTTGGTCTGGTGGAGCCCTCAAATTTGGTGGCTGGCTTGATAATGCCTTGGACTCTGGCATGGATTTTTGTCTGGTGCTCTATGCAAGATCTTGCATAGAGGTGGTAGATCAGCCCAAAACAGGCAGAGCTTGGAAGCAGTTGGGACCAGAGTCACCAAGAACATCACTGATCATAAACAATGCTAATGGATTGAAACCATTGACTGTAGAAAACATGGATGAAGCGACAGCACCCCAAAAATGAAGCCAAAACGTCTCTATCGCCCCCTGGTGTCTGGCTGCAGTATAGGTCATAAACCCTGCCTCCTCCATGTTAGCGGATGGGACTGGGTCAGACTAAAATAAATTTATTCTCCTCAGATAATTTTTTTCCAAAGATTCTTTCTTTAGTTTTCAATAGTTCTCATCACACTGATTGCTGTCCAAGAGGTCTCCTTTCCCTTAAGTTTGATTCTAATTCCTAACAATTCCTGCTGAAGATTTCCCTGTGAGGGAGCTGCTGGTGAAGATCATGAGTTCTGCTTGATCAATGCGATGAGCTTCAGTGTTCCTGTTGTTTCTTAAATGAAGCCTCTCACAGTCGGTCAACAGAACTTCTGGCACAGGACAGCTGATGAAAGAAAGGGAAGAAGTTTCTCCAAACCTCTGGACCCAGGAAACCCAGCTTGGTCCTGATGGCCTCCCTCACTAGTTTCTCTCCAGGGTGAATGTAGCTGTTGATATAATATGGACTCTATTATTAAATGAAAAGAACAAATTAGACTACACTACTGAAACCTTCTG